TGAGTGGTCTAAGTGCTGTGTGTGTGTGTGTGTGTGTGTGTACTGTGAATCTGTGATTACCCTTCAGTTTCTCCTGTAAATATGGTCTTCTCCCACTTTCTGAGTTATTTTGTCCTTATAAAGGTATCTACTTAATCTAGATCAGAAATTCTCTTTTTTCATCTGTAAAACCACTTAGCAGAAATCTAGATATTTTTCTTAGAGTCATTTAAAAAAATCGTCACGTGAGCAATGTCACCTGAATTTCTGTGCCTTCCCATAAGCAATGTGTATATGTATATGTTTCCTCATCATCTTTATAGTTTTCTGACAGTGTTATTCTCAATGCACTCAGTAATTTTATGGAATAAAAATGTATAAAACCTGCTTGTGTGGTATTTTCTGAATGCTTATCTTTATCTCATAAAACCATGTACAAAAAGGGATTTAAGAACAATAAAGTAAAGAGCCTTTGGCTGGGAATGTAGCTTAGCAGCGCCATGCCTGCCTGGCAAACAGAAGGTCCTGAGTTTAATTCCCGGTACTGAAGAAAAAAAAAAAAAGTGAACAAAAGGATCAGAACCTCTAGTACCACAGAACTTGCAGGCTTGATGGCCCATATCACTGTAAGACCTGGGAATGGTAAATTACTTACCATAATGCTTCAACAGTTATCTCAGGCATGTGATTGTTCAAATTTGCAAGGCTTTAACATTAGCTTATAAATTATCTGTCTTATAAAATACCAAACTGCTTAATGGGGAGTTAAAACTTCTCATTTCAACTCTCTTCTTTTATAAAACTTTAACAAATAATGGGAAAAAATCACTTCCTTTCAAATGTTGATGACTAGAGGCAGATACCAATTTTAGGGATTGAAATAGGTGTCTGGGTCACCAATGGGAAAGCTTGGGAGGTGCAGCAGTGGCACGTTTGCCCGACGAATGGGCAGCTTGTTCGTGGCATCTCTAGACAGGACTTGGAGATCACATGCAATCTACATCCGGATCACATGACTGCCAGAGGAATAGTTTCACATATCTGCACCAATGAAAAGTGAGATAAACGCTCCTGTTACTTTTACTGATGAAAGACACGGGTATGCTAGTACCACGATGTTTGTTACCAAGATTCATAATTGAAGGTCTGGCTAAATTTCAGTTTTTTAGTTTAGTGTAAGTAAAGATGTAATTTCTAACAAGATTATGGACCCACTGTAACCTGGAATCCAGGGTTCTGAATTTCTAGATTTGCCCTTGTAGTGATATAAAGGAATACATAACATAATATTCTCTTATTTCATGTTTCTATTTATTATTTTAAGAAATAAATCCTATAATTGCCTTAAATGTCTTATTTACTCAATATATAGGGATCATTTAAACTGAATTAAGAGTTTAGTGACTTTCTTTTTTACTGATTTTTATTCTTTGCTTTTCTCTTTGTTGTATATATTCTTTCTTCAAATACTATATTAAGTAGTCCTGGGAGAAAGTTTGTGGAACTTAATCTATCAGTCTTTTCATGTTTCCAAATGTTTTCCTTTAATCTTTATATGTGATTGATAATCTTGGTGAATAGTTTCAATACAATTTAATCTCAGAATCTGAGAAGAAATTTTTCTACCATCTTCTCACAATCAGTTCTGCAGAAGAAATAGCTTCAATTCCAATTTCATTCTTTTGAAGCTCAAGGAAAACTCTTCCTAGTTCTGTGGACTTTTATGATTTTGTCCTTTTTTTTTGGTACCGGGGTTTGAACTTGGGCCGTTGCACTTGCAACACAGGTGGTGGAACCACTGAGCCAAATCCTTGGCCCTATGGTTTTGTCTTTATTTTTTTAGTTCTGAATTTTTCAAATTTGGGAACAGTTTTACTTGGTAGTTGATAATCCTTTCTTTCTTTTTTGGTACTGGTGATCGAACTTGGGCCCTTGCGCTTGCGAGGCAGGCAGCAGAACCACTGAGCTAAATCCCCAGCCCTGGTAGGCCTTTCAAATGAACGATTACACTTTTTTTTCAGTTTAAGAGGATTTTGTTATATTATTCTTTAATTATTCCAACCTTGCTTCTTCATTTTGTCTGTATGAGATCCGTATTAAATATAAATTAGAATATTTGAGTCTATCTTTTATTTTTCCTGCTTCCTCATGCTTTTCACATCTTCACCTTTTTCAGTTTATTCTTATAAAATTGATTTGTTTGATCTTTCAGGTCACTAATCTGTTCAGAATTGTGACTCAGTCTAAAAGACTGAACATCATAAAAATTTATGAAAGCCTTCTCTTTAATATGTTCCACTGATTCCTCAACTCTACTGGATTTTATATCTCAATGTTTATTATCTTCCTCTAATTCCCAACTGAGATCATCTGCTGTTGATGTTTTCCCTGTGTTTCCAAGTGCTGCTATAGCTAGAACTTTGCACTGTGGTGTGTGTGTGTGTGTGTGTGTGTGTGTGTGTAGAGAGAGGGAGAGGGGAAGGGGAGGAGGAGGGGAGGGAGGGAGAAAGGTAGGTCGTACTTTAGAAGTTTTGCCCACCATTTGAATTCACAATCTACTTCTTGGTGTGCACTTTGGTTTGGGTTTCACGTCTGCCTCTGAATGGACAAAGCACTCCCCACCAAGTGGAACATTACGAACATCTTCCACACCAGTACCAGACACACAGGGACAGGTGGGAGGCAGTGGAGAGCAGTGGTCGGAATATCAATTCGGGGCCTCATCATTTTGTAAACCTTCTGAAGGAATTTGGGATTTATATTACACACACTGAGGAGCTAGAAAGGGATTCAAAGTATTTAGAAGGCAATTTTGTCAGTATTGCAGAGGATGAAAAGGGAGCACTGCTAAGGGGAAGCCATTTAGGAGGTGATCACTGCAGTATCATTGGAGCTTTTGAGGCAGCATCAGAGACTGCGCAAGGAGCTCATGCACTGGTCCAGTTCTCTATGTCAGCTACTTTCTTTTGCAAATGACAGTAGAGCCTACTGAAGAGCTACTTCATCATCCAATAACCCCTGAAATGGTCACCTTTTGGTGTCATAATTTATCTGGTTACTCTTTTTGTATACACACCGTAGTAAGACTGGTGTCAGTGAAGTTCTATAAGTTTAATACTCTCCTACGTTATATAGATCTCAGAGCACACATTTCATGCAAAGTGGATAGATGGATCTCTATTGGGTATTTCGTACCCAGAAATCATGATCCGTTCCAATCATGAGTCCAGTTGGCTAGCAGTGAGAGACAGAGGGTGAGGCAAAATTCATCCCTAAATTCCGAGGTGAGTTCTAAATTTCCTTCCCAAATACGTACTGTGTTACTGAAGAAGATGTGTTCTCAGGAAGAGTAAGGATATTCCTAGATCAAAAGTAACCCTGTTACTACAGTAGAATTCACAGACAAGGTTACATTTCTCAGACTAGAAAGATAGGGCTAGGAATATTTAATAAAATGTATTTAAAAAGTAATAAATATTCTTGCTCTACTCATAATTCTGTGTATGACAAGCCATTGAAGCTACCCTGGTCAGACAAATACAGTAAGTGTTAGAATTTAATGGATAAATAATTAATATAGAAACAGTAGATCTGTAAAGGAGGCAGATTAGATTGTCAAGGAAATGGGTATGAAACAATGTATGATAGAAAATGCTTTTTAATTATTTTCTTTCAAAAGTTTCCTGATGTCAGATTTAAGGCAAGGGTGAATTTTCAGATGATTCTCCTCCTCCTCCTCCTTCTGCTCTTCTTCTTCTCCTTCTTCTTTGTTCCTGGTATTGAGGATTGAACCCAAGGCCTTTACACTGAGCTACGTCCTAGTCCTTTCTTTTTCAAACTTTGAGACAGGGTCACTGCTAGATCACTTAGTTGCCCAGGCAAGGTTTGAACTTGTGATTCTCCTGCCTGTGCTGTGGCGACCAAATTGACTCCATTTTGCTAATTACCTAGTTCTCAGAAAAACCCATGACTGTTCCCGTAAGTTGTCATCAGATGTTCCCTTTTGTTAATCTTGTTAGGACAAGGAGGGACATCTGGCCTGGGCCAATTAAGCATTGAGAAAACACACACACTTGCAAAATGTTAACCAATCAAGCATTGACCCGTTTAGAAAGCCCCTAGTTCTGCTTCTCTACTAGTATAGAACGGTGTTTGAAATCAGTCTCGCGGCTCTTGGCGAATCCACTGCGTCATCGGTGAGGTCCGAGAGTCCAGGCTGGAGCTTGCAATAAACTCCTCCTGTGATTGCATCGGACTTGAGTCCTTGGTGGTCTTTGGGGATATCGAGATTTGGGCACAACACTGCCTCCCAGAGTTGAAGGAATTGCAGGTATGCTCCAGGATGATTGGCTCAGGGGCTCAGGAGTTAAAGGGAGGGGAGGGCATTGGGAAAAAAGAAAAACCAAGATATATTGTGTATAGGTAAAAATTCCTAATGATGAATGTAGGCATTATGCATATGTTAAGTGTACCAATAAAATTAACCTAAGAAATAAAAAATAAATAGTAATTTTGACTCTAAAGTGAACCCTGGTCTTCAGCCTTTTCACACTTCTGAAATTTGTTAAGATACTTTTGTAAAAGTGAATTCTCCATAGGCACATGTGTCAAAGTCTACAAACAGGCAAACAAACTACAGTATAATGTATAGGTGTTTCAGGAATATTTGCATTAATAAAATATGTTGGTTTTCTTTTTTTTTGGTACCAGAGATCGAACTCGGGACCTCATGCTTGTGAGGCAGGCAGCAGCACCACTGAGCTAAATCCCTGACCCAACAAAATATGTTTGAAAATAATCTTCTGAATGTTACAACACAATTTGAGAATTGCTTTGCATTTGTACCATGAACTGATGTCAAATACTTAACGTTCAATATTTATATGTCAGCAAAGTGTATTTTATAAAAATATATTTAGCTTTATAAAACAATATATAAATCCACTGAAAGTTAGATAATATTTATTGTGCACTGCATAGCAGTCAGTGTTTTTTTTTGTTTGTTTTTTGGTACCAGGAATATGAACTCAGGACCTTGCACTTGTGAAGCAGGCGCAGAACAACTGAGCTAAAACCCAGCCCCAACAGTCAGTGCTCTTGATGCTTGGGTTACACCACTGAGCAATCAGGTAAAATGTGCTTCTCTGAAGGCATTTATGTTCCTTGGGGTGTGGGGGGGGCAAACTAAGCAATAAATAAATATGACTATGCATAGTAACCAAGTTGGAAAGAAGTGTTATGAAAATCAGAATAGTTAGAAAGAAGTGTCATGAAAAAGCAAAGAAGGAAAAGAAAAAGAAACCAGGGCAAAGGGGATCATTAGTGTGGATGAGATATTTCAATTTTAAATTTTAAACAGGTCTTCAGAGTAGGTCTCATTGAGCAAGAATCATTTGAGTGAATACATAAAGGAGGTAAAATAGTAGAATATGATTATGAAATATTGTGTTAAGTATCCTATAAAAGGAAATTAGTTTTCATAGGGAAATTTGGATTTAACTTTCACTTAAATTGGCAAATCCTTTTGATTACTCAAAATTTCTAATTCATATTACCTCAGCATGTTTCTTAAAATATGCTGAAGTTCTTTTCATAGCATTGTCTATGTCTTCCGAAATAATTTAGATTAGTTCATGCCTATCAGAATCTAAGATGGAGGTAATTCCCTTTTTTAAAAACAAGACATATCAAAAGGTCCAAAGGGGAAGGGGCAGAGGGGTGGGTAGGGGAAAGGAAAGAAGGGAAAGAAATAAATATGAGAAAAGAAACAAAAGCATTCTTCTTGCTTCTTAAAAAAATGAAATAAAAAAGACATATCTATTTTTTTAAAGACATGTCTATTAAAAAACAACAACAGGCATTGTGCTGCTGTAATTCCAGTGTACTGGAAGGCAGAAACAGGAGTACTGAAAGTTTGAGCCCAGCCCGGGCAACTTAGAAATTTAGAAAAACCTTGTGGCAGAAAAGGGGGAGTAGGGATGGGGCCGTCGTTCAGTGTGAAGGTTCTGGGCTCAATCCTGAGAAAGAAACGGGGGGGGGGGAGAAAGAAAGAAAGAGAGGAAAGAAAGGGGGGGAAGGAAGGAAAGAAGGGAGAGAGAGAGAAAGAAAGAGAAAATCTGAAAACTCTTGCCTTATCTGGCAGTGGGAAATGAACAAAAACAATTAAAAGCAAATTTACTCAGATCTCTAGTTGAAATTGTAAAAAGGCTTCTTGATTTCTAAGAATTATATAAAGTGATATGGGGATTTCTGAGTGAATGACAAGCTCAAAATATTTGAACTCTTTTTTTTTTTTAAGCTCAATAAGTACTTTTGATTGGAAATATGTACTTGTTTTTCTCACCCACGTGTGTTTGCTTTTCTACCTGAAATTTGTTTGCTGAGGATATAAATGCCTCTGCAGTGGTAGCTCCAGTCAGGTGGCAGGTTCAATATGATTGCATTGGAAAATGTGCAGTGATTTCCACTCACTTTTTCATAAGATATTAATTTTGGAGGTTATTGGAATAGACCTATACATTGTATATGTTTGTCACTTTTATCTATTTAAAGATGTCTGTTTTTATTACTTTTTGATTATTGTCTCACTATGCCAAATATTAAAATACCTCTTCTTTATTTAGTCATTATTTTAAGGAGCTATGAGTTTCATGCACCAACTTTCTAATTTAATTGATTAAAAGCAAAACTCATTTTCTTAATCACAGTTTTTTGACATTACATAGCTTAATTTGCAGAGGGAAAAAACAATACAAAACAAACAGGCAATCCCTACTCTTTAAAAAAAAGTTTTGAACAATCCAAGCAAAGGTAAAATTATAGTCAAATAAACAATGTTAATTAAGTGACGGAACTGTATTGTAAATAAATCAACGACAGGCAATATTGTATGCCTTTTCTTTGAAAATCAAGCACTTATTTGTATTCTTATTCTTGGTGAGAATTTGTACACTTACTTCAAAGAATAGGACTAGATTGTGCCTATTAATATGACAACAAGAAACTAGGTTGTTTGCTCTGTTCTGTGCCCAGTGTTATGTGGAGCAAACAGAAAAGTCAGGAAACTTCATTGCCTCTGTGTGTGTGCGCGCGCATGTGCGCCGTGTAATGGGGCAAACCCATATCAACCACGTGAACTTTGCAACATTTTTAATATGTCACGTAATCTGTTAAATAGTGATGTACGTGTTTGTTGCCTGCGATTGTGTGATACAGGTATAGCTATAGATGGATACTTTGCTTTTCTCGACATGGTTACACATCTTACAGCTAATGACCTGATTTTTTTTTAACCCATGCAATGCTCAAGTACTAAAGTATTGCTCTATTCAGCTTTACTGTATGGTACATAATTTTCAATTCTTAAAATACTGTTACTACACGGTAATTTTTAACTCCCACTATTTGCTCAGAGTAGAAATATCCAGAGACAAGCAATATGAGGGTTTGACCTGACTGAACCTTTCCCGGTTACTTGCAGAGACAAAGGGGCCACAGAATCCTTACAGGAGGACGCTGATTGAGGGACGTGCCTACCTCTGTGAGGGGGCTGTGGAGGAACAAATGTCTAGTGCAGGGGAGTGAGGTGGTAGGGATGAGGCAGCTCAAGGAAAGGCTCCTGGAGGGGCTGGTGAGAAGGTGGAATTGAAGCTCAGTCTTGAGGGAAAGCAGAATGCGGATAGGTGGATCGAGTGCAGGCAAGCCGTTTGTACTGGAGGAACAAAGTCTACAAAGCAGAGGTGCCGGAGAGAACATTTGAAGCATTCGTTGTCGTTAAATGCAATGACATTTCGGATATGCCATATTTCCACTCACAGAAAAGCAAGTAGAATCAAGGTGCCAAGTTTGGGAAGATTGATATCCTAGTTCACACTGGAATCATTGAGAAATTTTTAAACACAAAATGTGTGCTCCTATGCTGTTTTTGAAAGCTGGATGTTTGAACATTACCTTCTTTGCTGAAGGAAAACTTCACAGTGAACCAACTTTTCTGGATTTACTATATTAGAAGGAAAATATAGATTTTCCTTGCACCAGTAAATTGATATGATTTTATGCATTTGTCTGGACTCTGCAGTACGTGAGTGAGAGTAATTTTACTTTTGTTTGGAGCCATCTTCCTGGGACTGCTAGCAAAGTTGAGACCCTCATGTCCTCCTTTCTGAGGCAAAGCCACCAACCACATCAAGCACATCTGTGCAGGATGTTCTCACGTACACAATTGTCCCCCCGCCCCCTGACACACACACTTGTACCAAGTAGGTCAGAAATTTTGAGAAAGTACAAATTTCCTGGTTCTGGATTTAATAGCCCAGGATCTCTGTGGATCCAGAGAGTATATTTTCAGCAAGTTTCCAGGAGATTTCTGGTGTCTGGAGTTGGAGAATTATTCAATCTTGCATCTATGTTTGCCGGGGCTAAACATTCAGGGACCAAAGTCAGTGAAATTCAGTGGCATATGTCTGTTTGACTTAATTCATTAAGCTTAAAAATATCTGTAGTTCAGAATTGTAGTCTTCAGCATCGTTTTCATAATTTCAAAATTTCCTCTAATGACAATGGAATGTATCATGAACATGATAACTTTCTTTTACACGCAACACTTTCAGAAGTCCAAAGCTCAATTTTATCCAGCATAGAGCTCACCGCATTTATTTTTCCCTGGAACATTTCAATTTATCTTACAGAAAATTTTTATTCTTTAGTGATTTATGCCCCTCAAGGTTACATTTACCTACGGATTTTTCTTTTGGTATTTTGATATTTATGACAGGTACTAAAACCCATTTAAATTATTTCTGAGATACATTTCCCTTCCAATGCCATAAACATTTCTTTGTCTCACCACAGTGTTCAGTGCTACTTTTGATTTAAAGAATGCTGCTGATTACTGTCCATCTACACAGTGTTTGTCCATGAGATCTTTGTCTTTTAGACGACACCTTAAACCTCCTTGCTATTTGTTTTCAAAAACACCTCCTAAGTCCTAAATAAGGGAATGACTTTAATGTTTTCTCTTAGCTTCTGTTTCTCCACAACTAAAGGCACAAGGAATTGGTTATGTATATGTGATAATGGAATGGTGTTTTTCATGATCAATGAAGCTAAGAAATCAAAGTAGCACTGGAGCCTCAAAACGTACTATGATCCCATAGAATGCCAGGACAACATTTAATCCTTAGCATCTCTTTCCTCTGAACTGTTCGGTTGGGGTATCTGTCAGAGTTGAATTGTGAAGCAAAACCACTGAGAGTATCAGGATGTCCAGAATCCACAATGCACAAACACAGGAGACTTAAAGCCCAAAAGAAAGGAGAAGAGTTGAAGGATGAGATACGAACTACTAACCAGTCCTGCTGATAAACTGATAGGAGAGGACAAGTAGCTACAGGGAAGTCTGGGAAGTTAACCATGTCTGAGCGCTGAGGTTGTGCTGCAAGTGGAACGGGTAGAGAAACCAGTGGAACGCTGCTGCTTCTTCACTTGGGGAGCGGGTGGCGGCCCTAGGGTAGCAGCTGTTTAAGCAGCACAGCAGGCAGGAAGCAGGGCAGGTTACAGGCTGGTAAAGGGGAGAGTGAGGGCAAGCTGGGAGCCATGAGATTGCTGCACCGGTCTCTTGTTGCATCTCACCTTGAACACCTTCAGCATATAATGGCTATGGCTTCAACTCCACATTTGAAAAACCTTCAGCAAATTTCCTTTTTCATCAACTGTAGCCCGGAAGGCAAATGAAAGGAAATTCTGGGAAAATTCTTCCAATACAGCCAGTATAAAAGCTCCACAACAATTACCTGTTTAATGCATATATTTTTACTGTTTCTAGGGCCTTGTCTTTTATTTTTTATGATAATAGCCAAGATTTTGTTTTAATCTTCCTCAGAACAAGTAGAAAGTCAGAGCCCTCTTTCTCCGTTCCTTACGTCCTTTTTACATTGTTGATATACTATGAATGCATATTTTCCTAGTTAGACTGAATGGAGTTCTGAAAAGCTAGTAACTTGTTCACAAATAGGTGCTTGAGAAGCTGGATGAAATCTCCCAGGACACTAGGAACCATGTCTTCGTGACTCTGCCCGTAAGTGACTCACCTCTCTGCATCTGATCCGCCACAGTTCACACTGAAATCCCT